CGGGCCCATCTGTTCCGGTGGTGTCTCTGGGAAAGAGAAGCAGAGCTGGAAACAGAGTCACAAAGACCCCAGGGGCAGGCACTGTGATTAGGTACAACTCGTACAATGTATTTCTTAAATCCTGTGCCCTAAATACATACAATCCCGTGTGTGAGTGTTACATCTTTTAATCCTCTAGACAACCGAATTAAATAACTTGTAATATGAACCCCATTTTAGAATTCAGGATACTGAGGCAAGAAAACTCAAGTAGCTTGTCTAAGGTCATGTCATTGAGAGGTGGGGCTAAGGTGGAAACCCGTTGTGTTGACTGCTTGCTGTATGCTATTAACCATTCATTCATTTCCTTTTTTCCTGTGAATTTCATCCTTTCCCTCTGTCTGATGCACTGGCATCTAGTGATTGATGAGCTGTTTTTTGAAGATGTACTTGACAATGAGTTTTCAAACTCTCTTTTGTAATGCATGCTCCTGCACTGGGAAACAGTTGCTTGGAAGGGTATTAGTGGTGACATGTAAATTTAGACAGTATATGATATGCTGGTATTATCACTAAATGTCTTACATTTTCAAAATTAATTTATTTGAAAGTTGGCATCTCTTGGCTCATTTCTTCAATGCTCACCTCTAAGGCTGGGCCAGAATGAAGCCAGAAGCCAGGGGTTCAATGTGGTTGTTGGAACCTGACTACTTGAACTATCTCCTGGTGCCTCCCAGGATACATAGTAACAAAAGCTGGAATTCGGAATGGAGATGAGGCTTGAATCCAGACACTCGGATAAGGAATGGAAGGATTCCCGAGGAACACTTGGGAACTTAACCACTGTGCCAAACACCTGACCCCATAAATATCTTGAGTTTGTAGATCCTATTATGGTTATGGATTTAGGAATGAAGGACATGAAATATATGACTTATTGTTAAATGACCCAAAATTAAAATAACAGGGCAAATAATATGTTTCTATAGAAAGACTTTTAGATAAAAAATGGGACTCTTCATATTTTCTTATTTTCTTGCAACTTCTTGTAGGTATTTTGAAAGCAAAAGTTGGGATAGAGAACTCTGATACTTCCAGGGGTGAGGCTCATATAAATCCTAATTCTCAGAGCAGCACTGTGAGTTAGGTATTTTAGAGTAATATACTGAGGGTAAGTTCCTTGCCTGGAAGGACAGGAAGATTCACTGAAATGATAGCATGGATATTTCTGTTTCCATAATACAGAAATCGCTCTTACGCCATCATTTCTGACCTACTAAGAAAGTCAGTTTAGATGGCTGAGCCTGGCTGGTCTGATGTGTATCTGTTAGGCCTGGGTTCCGTGGGCAGGTCCAGGTGTGTACCTGATCAGTATCAGCTGAATGAGCAGCAAGACCCACAAACACACTGCTTGTTTCTCTCTCCTCCCATATTGATTTCCATGTTTGTTGCCCTGTGTATCCCTGTCATTTTTCCAAGATTTGGATAGTTCAGAAGGATGCAGCTCCTGTGGTGTTAATTGCAATATAATCAACTCTTTGACTTGAACCCTCTGAAAGAATAAAGACATTCACTAAAGTCATCTTGCTGAGATACGACCTCTCCAATCAGAAATCTGAAAACGCAAAGTGCTTGTACTGGCCTCCGTGCACAGTGTCTTTAGCTGAGATCTGAGTGGTAATGAGACTGTCCTTATAACTGAGCAGTAAATCCATTTTTGAAAAACGTTGTGGTATCTCTAAAAATAAGCTGGTATTTCACAACAAAAAACCAGTGCATGAGTAGTTGGCACATCTGGTAGTCAGAAAAGCTGTACAGTTTGTTTTCAGGGAACGACAAGCCAAGAACATTCAAACTTGGCCAACTGAAAACTTTGCTTCTATCTGCGATGACACCTGGTTTTAAAAAATTTGGCTCTGAGTTCGATGCAGCAACAACATTGGGAATGGCGAGAGAATTGAACAACGGATTTACTATCTTGTCTTAAGCACAGCATGATAAAGGATTCTTTTCTTCTTCTGAAGGATAATAATAATATTTGTAGTGACAACAGCAGCAGTGCTCTGGGGAGCACCTACTAAGTGCTAAACAAAATGCCCAGTCCTTTATGTGTGTTGTCAAGGCTAGTACACAGGAGTCCTAAAAAGTGGTGTTAATTTTCTTCCTGTTACAAATGAGAAGGCAGTGATGTGGAGATAAGGCCCACAGAGCATCCTCCGAAACAGGTGTCATTCGGAGTACTGTGGAGGTGTTTATAACATTCTGAATTTAGAAAAGAAAATAGTGAGGAAGTCCTATTGAGCACCGTGCCCCTCCGCCCCACGGTTGTTTGTTCCCAGTTTCAAGGTGTGTGTTTCTGTTTTCTAAAACATCCTCATCGTGACAGAACCGAGGTTACATTTCCCAAGAAAGCTACTGTTCATCTTTATGCTTCGAGGCCATTATCTGTAGGACTGTCAGAAGCTGTCATTCTGTTTTTAGTTATAGAGGTTAAAGTTGGCCAGTGAGTTTGAGAGTAGGAGGCAGTGGAGTGAAGAATTGTGGATTGGTTAGGAGAGGGAAGTATTAAGTGTTTCTTCCTTGAAGAAGATCAAACCCATTTCAGTGTATGGCTCTAAAGCAGAAGGTGGCACGGGTATCCTAGTCCCATTGAAATTCTGCTCTTGGAAGATGAATTTGTTGTCACTGCTCCCACTGGCTTCCTCATCCCTCCTGTCTAGTTAGCAACACTCTGGAGAAGCAACAAAGGATTGACTTGGTGGAAGCTTTCTGTCGTGAAAAATGGCCCTGTCTTTACTCAGTAAATTGCGTGAGACACTCAACCCTATGTAATAAATTAGGTTTTGTGTTAGATGATTTTGCCCAAGTACTGGCTAATGTAACTGTTCTGAGGCTATTTAATGTAGCAGAAATTAAGTTTCCTTGTGTTAAATGCATTTTGATTTAAGATGTTTTCAATATGATATTGAAAGACCACTTTAAAAAAAGAAAAAAAAAGGGGGGTGGTGGTGGTGGAGGAATGGAAAATGTTAGTAGAATGCTGAATCAGAAGTCAAAGGGCCAGGACACACAGTGGCATTGTGATGGGGGCTGGTGGCATCCAATATGGCTGCTTCACTCCTACACCGCAGGGCCTGTCCTTTATGAGCCTCCTTTTTATTGGAAGAGAAACAGGATGAGATGACGGAGTTCATTAGATGAATATATTATGGCTCAGTGCTTGGCAGTGTGCTTGAAGTCAGATGTTACTGCCATAGCTGGCAGCCGCGGGATGTGGGGACTTGATAAAGGTGTCTTGTGTACTAGAAGCTACAGGCCCATTCCGTTGCCTTTTTCTCAGGTAAAGAGAGAGTTTGAAGTGCAAATGCCTTGGGTTTTGGAAGTTGTGCACATCTTAAAGGTTCAATACATTACATAAAAATATGTGCACGGTTGTTAGTCTGATGATGAAGCCTTGATGGTATAGTGCCTTATGAATTATGAAGTGGGAGTATCTATACATTGATCTCTCAAGACGCAAGAAGCTGAAGTGTGGATAAGCCTCAATGGGAATGGTGGAATGGAGTTTCTAGTGTGTCTATTAAAAAATAATCTGAAATTTTTGTCAGAGTGAATGATTTGGAAAATTTCCACGGAGGAAACTTAAACCCACGAGTGCCATGAAAATCCATCCTGGTAAAGTCAGTGTCTGCGCTTGTAAAATCCTTCCGTGATCTTGGGCTTGTCCGTTGCCACTTGGACTTTAGTTTCCCAAAAGGCTGGAGCAAAGCCCGGTGCCTGACAGCTGAGGATGGTGGATTGTTCCAGCATTCTGTATCCGGGGAAACCTGAGGGTGACTCCAGTTTTGTTTGATTTTGGAAGCTCTTGGAGATAATATAAAAGATGACTAATTTCTTTTTTTTTTAATTTAAAATTTTGGAATAGAAAATTATGCCTTTAAGCTAAAAAGTTTCAGCAAGGATTTCTACCCCCTTTGATCTCAAATATATCAATGAAAAAGATGGGAAATTGGGTGAGAAAATTTTAGAGCCCATTTTATTCAGAACTGAGTTCATAGTTGTAAGGGTGGAAACAGAGTATACAGTTACTGAGACTCGATCAGGTAGTTGGCAAAAAAAAATGTTTGAAAAAAGTACTCGCATGTCAAAAGAATGTCTAGAATGAGTCAACTATTATTATTTTTTGTCAATGAGTCATGGCAATGTTTGTCTTTCTCCTCTTTGCTTTTCACTTTTCCATAACGACAGATTCTTGTGGGTTTCTGTGGGATTTTTTTTTTTTTTTGGTTTTGTTTTCCTTTCCATTTTGGGTATGTACCAAATTTTACTACATTGGACAATTGTTATTGCTGCAAATGAACAATCTATATTCCAGCTGGTTATAATGCTGCTTATCACATGACTGTTTTGTTTGCGAGTCTCTTATTCTGAGTTTTAAAGTGGGTTATATATCCTATGATGCTTTGCTGGGGGAAAGATGAAACTTCCAGAGCAGAGAAATGCAGTCAGATGGTATACTTTAAAATGACTTTTTGCAGGATTTGTGATGAAGTGAGCCAGTTTAACAGGTTTTTGTCCCCCTTCTCCTACCAGCTGTGCCAACTTTCTTGTTCTAGGAAAAAACTTTAGTTTGATAAAGGGAGTCCCAACCACTTATCACCTTCACCCTTAGGTAAGAATATAAAATATAGCTCTTCTGCATATAATTGAGCACTTCTACATAGAATAAGTAAACTTTAAGAAACGTTGTCTATGAATGGTAATTTTGGATTAATTTCCATGATGACTTTATTTGGCTTTTTCTCTGGAATGAGAGAAGGCTTATTGGTATCACTAATATTAAAAAAAAAAAAAGAGAATAAGAGGAAAGAAAAGAAAACCAAACCTAAAATAAAAAGACCCCATGAGACCCAAGGACTGTTTTTAGATGAGATGAGTTCCCATAGAAATGTGCACATGTGTGTATGAACTGATTTCTGATGTAAGGGACATGGAAGCTAACCTGATTCATTTGTTTCTAGGGGCTCTTGGCTTTGGGCCTCAGTGCAAGTCCATTGGAAAAGGCAGCTGCAACAATCTAGTGGTCACCAGCAGTCCCATGATGGTTCAGCGACTGGGACCCATTTCACCTCCAGCAAGCCAGGTCTCCACAGCATGCAACCAGATCAGTCCTAGCTTACAGAGGGCTATGAATGCAGCCAACCTGAATAGACCTCCTTCAGATACCAGGTCTCATGTTACTTTTTTTTCCCCCCTCTTCTTTATGGTATAATCACATCACCTGAGTGTTTCCCCTTCTCTTGCTTAGTACACACACACACACACACACACACACACACACACGCACACACACGTTAAGAACGTATTTCCATTTGAGCTTTGTAGGGGAGTGTGTTGATAAACTGTTGATGTGTCATGGAATCATCTTGATGGGGAGGAAATGATTTCATACCTACTGCATTGTGATACGAAGGAATGAATTCCCAATCTGAGATTTTGGGGCATTGGTGACTGAAGTCCAATGTGTGAATTTGCCAGCTTCTGGTGAGGCCAGGCTGTGCAGTAGCCTGGCCAATTGGAATGGTTTGTGCACACCTACCTACATTACTTGCTGGATTTTCACTCTCCAGTTGACTGGTGCCAGGTGTTTTGTCAATCTTTCCATTCATCCATCTGCTCATCCTCCCAAATGTTTATTAAGTTCCCACTGCCTGCATACTACGAGAGTTGAAGTTAAGGGAGACATTGTGGGGAGTCCACATAAGAAAGCATGAATTTAAGACTTGGGATGTGTCTGGCAAGACTTATGTGTGAGTTAGGAAACATTTCCCCCATGATGTCTGATTAATTGCCAGCATCAGTCGTTACTGGGCATGTCATGTGTCTATCTCCATGGGGGAGAATTGAGTAGAAAAGCAAATTTACCCTCTCAGACAAATTTTCAGTATCCCTGAAGACTGATATTAGAGTGTAAAGCCACAGCACTACGCAATATTCAAGGTCTGCTCTTGTTTCTGTTTGAAATAAATTATTTTTTTTTTCTTCTGAGTGTTACCTTCTCAGGAAAACACAATGTGAAATTTTGCCCCCTTAGCCCTACTTGCCCTGCATGGTGATCCTGCCAACCAGTTTTTTTTTTCTCCCTGGACCTCTGTGGATTCCTCTTTGCAGTCCGCCGATGGCCTTGTAGCACTAGTGGGGCTTGGCTCTTCAACCCTTCTTCCCACCCCCGTAGACCCCACCCCTGTTGTATCACTGGCTCTATTGTCTTGCTAGCCTCTGCAGTCATAGTTCCTGCAATCATTTATTTATGCCTATTTTTTTTCATGAAGTGGAAACTTGTTTTTCACTGGAGACTTTTTCTGATGGGTAGCTGCTGTCATTCCCCCCCATTGATGATTATGCCTTAAGGGATTCCTCAGACTCGCGAGTGCTGCATGTGAAATTAACTGTGCTTCTGGGTGGGTGTCATTGGGAAGCCTTCAGCTTCCATGTCTGTGGCAAGTCCAGCCCATGCCTTGAAGGCAGAGAGTCATAATTAATGGAGAAGCTGACGGTAGGCAGAGCGCACACTACTCAAGCCGAGCACCTTATGCAGTCTCTTTCATGGGTCAGCTCGAGAGGGGTCATTATCTCAGGGTTTTCTGGCATACTTGATTCCTTAGCATAATTTTTATGTCCTTAAAAGATAACACCTTCAAGTTACACTGACAAGTGTTTTTGACTGTGCATTCTGAGTCCTTCTGTGAGGAGGGGAAAAAAAAGTTCTTTGCAGGATAAGCAAAGGAATTTGGAAGTGGCTTGGTAAAATATGGAACCTGCTTTTTAATAGAGTGGCCACGTCTCATTTATTTGTGATCCTTAAATTGGCTCATGTGTTCCATCTGGGGAGAGACGGGCTGAGGGACAGCAGTTCAACGAGGAGGCATTTTACTGTCTGAATGTGAAGAAACAGTGGAGAAGGAAATAGCGTAGAGTTTTATGCATTGTGAATGGAGGGAAGAGATAGGGCAGAAATGGTTTAGTCTGAGAAAGGCTGACCTTTTGGAAAGCCTTAAAGTGTATTGTTACGCCTGGTTATTTTGTAGTTCTGGTTGAGTGTTGAAAACAGGCAGAATGCGGGAAAGCCACGGCAGCAAACGCCGGGCTTCCTGAATCCTGTTGATTGGAGACAGTGATGGATATGGTTTTGATCCATATCCTTTCAGATAGCTGCAAGCACACGCATCTCAGGTGTAGACGTTCTTCCTACGAAATTGGTCTAACAGTTGGGACTATCTCTTTCCGGTGAATGCATTCTAAACACATCCTGACTTCTTCCTGCCCAAGGTTGATCAAGTATGTAAATGAGACTTAATTTTTTTTAATCCATCTTTTATTCCTGGGTATTTAGTTGCTTCATTTGATTTCTGAGTGTCCAAGAATGTCTTGGATGTACACTGTAAATCTTTAACTCATGTCTCTGGTTATTAGAATGAATTTTTAGAAGCAAAATATTTCGGGTCAAAGCTAATGTACAGTTTTGAGGTTGTCCACAGCCTAAGGGAGTGTTGGTTTCCTCAGACTACCAAATACGTGGTGGTGTTATTTTGATAACTTTTTTTCCAGTTTAATGGCTAAAATGTTATCTTCATTTACAATTCTTGTTCGCTTTTTATGAAGATTTATTTTCATTGGTTTGAAGCTCAGCATTGTATAGTGGAGAGGGAGACACAGAGACAGAGAAATTGTGCATTTGCCAGTCTGTTTTGCAAGTGGTAGTAATGGACACATCAAAATCCGGATCCCAGAGCATTTATTTTTTAGGATTCATTTATTTATTTATTTTTTTAATTGGAAAGTCAGATATACAGAGAGGAGGAGAGACAGAAAGGAAGATCTTCCAGCCATTGATTCACTCCCCAAGTGTCCGTGAGGGCTGGCGCCGACCCGAAGCCAGGACCCTGGAGCCTCCTCCCAGTCCTCCATGCAGGTGCAGGGTCCCAAGGCTTTGGGCCGTCCTCAACTGCTTTCCCAGGCAGGGAGCTGCATACGAAGCAGGGCCATTGGGATTAGAACCGGCACCCATATGGGATCCTGGCGCATGCAAGGCAAGGACTTTAGCTGCTAAGCTACCGTGCCAGACCCTCCCCAGGCTTTCTTATAGGACTTACTACAAGTGTGCAAGGACTCAGGCACTTAGACAACTTCTGCTGCTTTCTCAGGTGCATTAGAATGGAGTTGGCTTGTAAATGGAGCCGCTGGGACTCAAACTGATGCCCTTGTGGGTTGCTGGTGTGGCGGGTGGCAGCTTAACTCACGTTGCCACAATGCTCACCGCTGCAGTTCTTCTTTATTGATAACATTAAATCTCATAGGTTTGTTGGCTGTAGATTCTCTTTTGTAATCTCTTGGGTACTTTTTTATTTTTCTTTTGTGCTGCTTATGTTGGAGAAAGCACATCTTTAGCTCTGTTGGGTTTTATTGAAGCCGGTGATGGGAATCCTGCCCTAATACTATGAATTGACCTCAATTAATTTTCCAACCATTTTTTATTGTCCCCTCTTAAAAATAATTCAAATTATGTATATTAGTCCTGAAGATTCAGGGACCATTCACAATTTAAGCATAGCCAAAAGCTCTCTAATGAACCCACAGCATGTATTTTTCCTAAAATGGGCAAGGCTGAGATGCTGACACGGTAATTTCACACAACAACTTGTTCCGTCAATGCGACAAAAGCTTTCCTGGTGGCTTCCGAGTTGCTTACGAGTGTGTCCTTTTTTGAAGGCCTATCGTTTTGTCATCAGAAAGAAAATTCTTAGACGTGGATGAACACGTAGAGTGTCACTGTCTTTCTCAGACAGCCTGTGTGTGCAGTGACAAGGGTTTCCAGTTGCACAAAGAACAGGAAGTCGTGTAGGTTCAAGGCATAGCTTGCGTTTCTCCAGTTCTTTTGGTTAGGCAGAGCCTTAGCAGATCGTTAGTGGAGTAAAATGTGGGGAGTACAGCAGAGTCGCTGCGCTGGTGTCCTTGTTAGGTCATTGTTTATCCTGTATTGCCTCATTCAGACTTCTCTATAGACGATGGTCCTCTTTTTTTCCCCCAGTGTCACTGAGAGAGATTTCATCAAACGTTAGTATAATTTTTTTTATAAAATAAAAATTATTTTGAAGAATGTAGGTCATGGGCAAATAGAGGAGAGATCTGTATGGGAAACACCTGCAATGAGAATGTTTTGTGCCAAAATAAGTTCATCCTCCAATTCTATCTTTCCATGAACATTTTATAGTTTGGAAGCCATAAATAATGATGAGTTCTGTTGATTATTTCTTAATTTTTAAAATAGCTTTTGAGTACTTAGTAAGTATCTAACACTTGAATAGGCAACATTTTAATAAGACGAAAATGAGCTTGATTTGTTGGAAGGCTGTTTTTTGTTTGTTTTGTTTTGATTTGAGGAAGATTAAACACAGTCTGAAGTTAAACACAGTGAGCACAGTACATAATTTCTTGGGCGAGAAGACTGTTTGAGAGCTGTTGTGCTGGGAAGAGATTTTTGTGGATTAAAATTTGCTAAGATCCGAAGGTCTGAGTAATTGTATGGGAGGAAGATTGGCTGCTAAGCAAAGGTCCTTCTTCTGAGTTTTGTTCTTAATGGCTTTTCAAGGTAGAAGGGAGCATTCTTTGTTCATTGTACTGCTGTCATGAGGACACTGCAGAGTTTACTTTCTGAAATGCCTATGATGACTTTCTTGGAAGACTGAGCTGGGTAAGGAGTTGGCGCAGGTGCTTGCACGGGGTACGCCGTGACTGAAGTGGAACCACAGAAGAGGTGTCATCTGAGAGAAACGAGGATTGTCTCTCAACAAGGGGACAAGTGAATGTGTGTCACCATAGGCTGTGAGAATTTCATAAGCAGAGTTGATAACTGGTGGATAAAATACTTGGCCTGTTTGTCATGGCTTACCCATCTGTTGTGTTCTGGTGTGGCAGGCGAAACTGCCTAGAAATGAGCATCCTCTTAGCTTCTGGCTGAGTAAAGCAGGTTCTTTGTGAACTCTGCATCTCCCTGTGGATTTCTCAGCCTCGCCACCCTTCCTTACCTATGACAGGAGTAGTGATTTAGTGTTAGTCTACTAGCAGTTTGTGTATGTCACTGGGGAAGGCTCTAGGAGACCCCTTGACATTCAGTCACTAGGAGTCTGGAGTTGTACTGTGCAGAAAGAGAGCTATATGCTTCCAGTGTGCAGGGAAAAATAATTGAAAAGTGTCCACTGGGGAATTAAAAAAAAAAAACCAAAAAACTAGATGCTTCAGAAACCACTTCAGGGCTTGCAAAAGGCTCTCAGCTCAAATGTCAGGATGTGGACCAAGAAAAACAAAATGTATGTCAAGGGCCACCAGGCGTAAATTCCTGCTGTGTCCGTCCTTGGTAAGCATGACTTCTCTCGATGACAACATGAAGTCGGTTGTGGTGTTACTGCATGTCTCAGAGTAGAGATGCTTTGCTGCTAACAGCTCAGTGCTGTGGGAGACTGTTCCTGACTTCCATTTTATGGAATGGCATCAGAGGAGCAAGGTCAAGGGAAATGCTCCTGTTTTCCTCCGTTCCTTTGCAAGGCCTTTTCTGTACACACCGTGTATGAGTTCAGGGGTACCGTTCATGATCAATAGGGAGGTATGTCTAGCTCCTTTGTGGCAAATCTGTTGCTTTTTAAGGTAACGCATCAGAGCAAAGCAGAATGACTTTGCACATGGCCCAAGGTACACTGTGATCCATATTGGGAGGCAGATCATCTGTTGTGAACCATATAGAGTGTTTTACAAAGGATGGGAATAGGAAATTGTTGCAAAAACGAACTCTTGAATGATTTTCCCTTGAGCCAAAGATGCTAAGGTTTAAGGACAAGAGGTTCATAGAACACCTAAGACGATGACGCGTGATTAGAGTCTGCATGGTCTCTGTGTGTAATTCCCAATATCACTTGATTTCGTTTAGATATTCCCTTACACATGAAACTATATTTTACATAATTTTTTTTTAAATTTCGTGGGATGATTCGATGTGGTGGCTGAGGGCCAACAGAGGCGCTGTCTTTTAAAAATAACTTTTATAATCCCTTAGTGCTGGTGAAATTATTATTCAGTTGTTATTAATTTAGTCTCCGGATTACCCTTTCACTTTGAGGATTTCTTTATTTACTTTTGAAAACAGCATTAAACTTTAAGCATTACATATATAGTGCATGTATATCTATACACAGATATACATAAATGAATATATGTACATATGAATATATTATGTATATATGAAGATATGCACACATATATTCATGTATGTTTATGTACATATATACATATATATTTACATATATGTATATACGCATATATAAAGGGATGATATTTTACGTACACAATGCTAAGAATATAACAGTATATCTCACCTTCCCTTCTCTCCTTCCCTTTTATTTTCTTTTGATTTTTATCATGGCATTTCATTTTACTTTATGATCACAGGCTTAAGCCATCACTAAGGAAAGAATTCAACAAATAGTAAATGGAAAACCACTGTTCCTGTTCCAGGAGTACAGGCAAAGGCTATCAACAGTAACCAGATCTCAACATGTCAGATTCACTCATGTGCCTTTTTGTGTGTGTGTGTGTTCTGTATATTAGTTAACACAAATCAGAGAAAACAGGATAATTGTCTTTTGGGGACTGATTTATTTCACTAAGTATAATAGTCTCCAGTTGTATCCATTTTGTTATGAAAGGTAGGATTTTATTATCTTTATATGGCTGAGTAGTGTTGTATCATGTATCTATACTATTTCTTTCTATAGTCATCCATTGATGGACATCTGTGTTGATTTCATGTCTTAGCTATTGTGATTGAGCTGCTATAAACGAGGGAGTTTATTTGAAACTCAGAAGTGGTGAGGGGGAGAGAGACCTTGCAGCCTCTAGTTCACTCCTCAGATGACAGCAAAGGCTGGGGCTGTGCTGGGCCAAGGCCAGAAGCCAGGAGCTTTTTGTACGTTTCCCACATGCATGCAGGGACCCCAGGGCTTAGGGCATCTTCAGGTGCATTTTCTAGGCCATTAGCATGGAACTGGGTGAGAAGTGGAGCAGCCAAACCTTGAACTGGTGCTTATTGGGGATGTTGGCATAGCAAGTTGCAGCTTTGCTTGCCATGCTACGCCACCAGCTTCCCAGCATGGGTTTTTACTTTCCAGACAGATTTTTGCTCCAAGTCTGGGATGCCATTTTCAGTGATACCCTGGGTTTTGAACAAGTTTGGGGGTGATTAGTAAGATGTTGACTGTGATGCCCATCCCTCACTCCCCAACTTGTAGTGCCTGGATTTAATTCCTGACTCTGATACGGATTCTAGTTTTCTGCTTAATGCCCATCCTGGGGGAGGAAGGGTAGCAGGTGATGGCTCAAAGACTTGGATCTCTACCACAGCCATGGGATTCTGGAGTTGAGTTTCCGGCTCCTGGCTTCAGCCTGGCCCTGTGCTGGATATTGTAGGCATATTGGAAAGTCAACCAGTAGCTGGGACATCTCTCTCTTTGTCTCTGAAATAAAGTAGCAACACTTTAAAAGGTTCATGGAAATAAATATTAGGATAAAATTATGCCTAGACTTGAGAACTTTACAGACTCAAACTATCTTGATTTTTAATTTCATGTTTCCATGTGCATTTTGAAGGACCTTCATGTTCCCTGCCATGCTGTGTTATAATATGAAGCACACAGTAGGCAGTCAACAAGCATTTGCTGATTCTGTTTTTATGACGGGCGTCAGTAACTTTTCCCAAGCCTCTCACTTTTTCCCCATATGAGAAAGCATACTGAAAAATAAAGCAAGGACTATTTGTCATCATTCAGGTGTTCAGATTTTTTGTAACAATAGAGCTTTTGTTTTATTATTTTGGAGCACATTAGCTTTTATTATTCCTATTGGTAAAATGTTATTTACCTGGAACTAAAAGCCCAGAATTTTATCTTAGCCCAAGAATGTGTATTTACCAGAGAATGTAATTAGGTAAAATACTAAAGGGATTGTCAATGCAATGTTTTAGCTGTTAAGCAATTCATATCCTGCTAAAATGTTTATTTTTTTTCTTCTCTTCTGGCTGCCGTTCCAGGTCCCTTATTTCGTGTGAGTCTCTGGCATCCATGACTCTGAGTCTGACGGAAAGCCAGTCGGGCTTGAGTGTGAAACAGGAGTGGTCGCAAGGCTACAGGACTGTCCCTGCACTTTCCTCCAGCCCCGGCTCCCAGAATGGCATTGGTCTAGGTGATCTTGGTAGCCTTCCTCCAGGAGCATCCATGTCCAGCAATAGTGTTTCTAACTCATTGCCGCCCTACCTTTTTGGCATGGAGAATAGCCACTCTCCTTATCCCAGTCCCCGGCACTCAGCCACCAGGTCCCACTCTACACGCTCTAAGAAGAGAGCGTTGTCCCTGTCCCCACTCTCTGATGGCATCAGCATAGACTTTAACACCATCATCCGCACCTCTCCCACGTCCTTGGTGGCCTACGTCAATGGATCCAGAGCTTCCCCAGCCAATGTGTCTCCACAGCCTGAAGTCTACGGGCACTTCCTGGGGGTGCGTGGCAGCTGCATCCCCCAACCGTGTCCGGTGCCCAGTGGCCAGAAGGGCGTACTGGTGGCCAGCAGCGGCCTGGCACTGCCAGCGTATGGCGAGGACTGCGCACTCGAATATGAGCGCATGCAGCAACTGGAGCACGGTGGCCTCCAGCCCGGACAGGTCAACAACATGGTGGTACAGAACCGTTTACAGGTCCCAGACGGCCCTCCGACCTCTGGCCTGCTCAAGACCGAGCGTCTGGAAGAGTTCCCGGGCAGTGCCCTTGACCTGCCTCCTTTGCCACCTCCCCAAGGTCCCCCACCCCCCTACCATGCCCACTCACACCTGCACCATTCAGAGCTCCTGGCCCATGCCCAGCCACTGGCTCTATCCCAGGCCAGCCTGGATGAGGATGGAGACATGGACGACCTGGGGGGCAAGCACTGCTGTCGCTGGATTGACTGCAGCGCCCTGTATGACCAGCAGGAGGAACTTGTGCGGCACATTGAGAAGGTCCACATAGACCAGCGCAAGGGCGAAGACTTCACCTGCTTCTGGGCCGGTTGCCCTCGACGGTACAAGCCTTTCAACGCCCGCTATAAGCTGCTGATCCACATGAGGGTCCACTCCGGGGAGAAGCCCAACAAGTGTACGGTGAGTCTTTACAGCCCACAGGCAACCTTACCCAAAGGCCTGGCTGGCTCTCCGGACACATGGCTCTCAGGTCAGAACCATTGTCTCCTTTCGTGGGGTCTGGGTGTGTGGAGGTTCAGGTACCCAAGACATTGGCCTTGAGGCTGAGGAAGGGAAAGGGCTCTTTAATCATTAGCAGCTGCGATCACTCTCTCTTTATAGACTCTCTCCTGGATAGATACATGATTCACCATGCAGGAGGAATCGGTGTTACATGATTAGAGGATGCTGCCCACGCATGAATGGGGCATGTCCTTAATCTGCATGGTTGTACAAGCGCAGAAAAACCTGCACCACACTTCCAGCAACCTTCAGCTCTGTCCCCAAGCGATCATTCTGTGATTTCCCCTTCCTTCCAATAACTGAGTGAGAACTAGGAGCTGTATGTGTGTGATGGGGTGGGAGGCTGGGTGGTTCTGATATCTGGAAAAGAACTCACCACTTAGTAACTTGGCTAGTCAAAATGCAGCTGCATACACACCCACAGGCCTGCACGCTCTACCTTCCAGGGCCGTAAGACGGGATAATGATTTACAACCAGCGTAAGAACACCCAGGGGATGCTATAGGGGTTGACCCTCACAGGATCACACCTCATTTTAAGGAGAAAGACAACTTCACGGAAAGAAAGGACTGGAAAAGGGATGTGCTGTTGGTGTTGGAGGAAGTGGGCCTGATGTCTCTTTCTCTCCTTTGCCTCCCACATTTACAACACTCGTCTTGGAACTCCTCTCTCCTTTCTGCTTCTTGGCAAAATGTGCCATTTTTGAATAACACGATTCTTAAATGATTTCACAACAATTTCACACCTCGCAGAAAGCCTTAGGGTTTACGAGCAGGACCTCACCCTGGGGACCACGGGATGGCTTTGGCCAATCTCAGACAGCTCACTTAAGACTTGGAAAAAAAAAAAGAAGAGCATATGTTTCAGATTAGTTTAAATGGACAGAAATATTTCTTTCAGAGTGAGAATCAGAAAATTCTGCGTGCTCTCCGGCTAATGCTTATTCTGCAGGTCGCTCAAGACATGAGAACATCAAGAAGTCTGTGAGAAGGTGCAATTATAAAGATCTAAGTATTCTGGCGCAAAGAAATTTTAGGATGCGTGCAGAGCTTTTTCAGAACATACATTTTCGGCAAAGTTCTTGAAGACCCCTTCCTACGTGATGCAAGTGAAATTATGTGAAAGGGAACTGATCCGAACTGTGGTCACCTGGTGGAGTGCTTTCCCTCTGTAGTATGCTGTGATGAGGAAGAGTCTGAACTGGTCTGAACTGGTTTGAAGTTTGAGTGTAAATTGGCTCAGGATCTGACTCATACAAAAGCAAACCGAACAGGTGATCGCCATACTGCAGGTGTGAGAAGCACGTCTTCACTGTCCAATACAGATTTTTTTTTGTTTGGAAACACTTTGAGGAAACTCTGGTGGAATGGAATTGCATTTCTTCTTGTTCCATCATGCCCCATGTTGTGAATTTTCTTAAGGAAAACCCGAAGCTGTTGCATTGTAAAAATGCCATGTTCTGTGAGTGAAAAAGAATAATTGCATGCCAGGTGGCAAAACCTGACTCCTGTCAGCAGGGTTCTGCATTAAAAATGCCAGAGAGAGACAAGCAGTTGAAGGCAATTCCAGTTAACTTCCATTTGTGCTTGTAACACACCAGCCTATTGCAGGCAGGAAAGACATTCATTCTCTGAGGAAAAACAGTCCAACCTTTCAGTTCTGACTAATCCTGTCTGAAAATAGTTTACTGGATTTGGCCCTACTGAAATAAACATAAAAGCCTGAATTATCCAAAAACTTTTTTTTTTTTGCATTGCAAAATTAATTTTTTGTGCAATAGGATTTCCCTGTTTTCCCCACTGTTTCCAGACTTTACCAAGACACAGAACTTTCTGAAGTAGACTTTTTCTAAAGTACATGATAGATATTAAAAATAGAAACATTGAAGTGATGGATTTAGCTGACAGTTGAGTGTTTGCAGGCCTCTGCATGATTTTCTTTTTTTTTTTTTTTCGTTACATTGTCAGGGATGGTTATGGGAAGTGACTTATTTCTTTCCAGTTGCCCACTCCCCATGCAAACTTCAGGATAGACTCCATTGCACGATTCACAGAGCCCGTTTAACAACATATCGGATCCAGAACCCCCAAGCATTCCTTACCACATGCTCCAGTGAAAATATGTTGATAGAAGACAGGATTTCTTAGGAGAGCAATCCTACAGTTGCAGCCCTGGGACTGCCTATTTTTAGAAGGAAGACATCCATTTTCATGTAGAACATATCTATCATGGACATTATGGCTTCTGAAACCTGTTATATCACTGCATATCTTCTGCTTACTTTGTACGGTTATGTTCAACTAGTGGCACATGATTTGGCTTTGAAATCCTAGCAGTTGTCTCCTGCCTGTGGTTAGAAGACGCTGTACTTCTAATGAATACATACCTGAAAGAAACCAACACCCAGTTTTCTACCGTTTGCAAAAAAGCAATCTTTGTACTCTTGGAATCCGCACAAAGAAAACTGCTGAAATATTTCATCTCCCATCATTTTAAAATCTGATGGTAGTTGGTGGAAGGCTCGAGATGTTCTTCAAGGAAAGTGGCCACACTCTTTAGAAGAAATGATCTTTAGGTTTTGTGTCTGTGTCATATGCAAAGGTTAGGAACACTGTACGAAATAAAGTTTCATTTGTCTTTGTTTTTTTCTATGTGGAAGTGTTCATTTTTTATGTGATAGAATTAGTCATTGTTTTTGCTCAGTTAGCTTACTGACCCAAGAAAGAGATGGTGATCCTGTTGTGTTTGGTGACAATGACTATAAGCAGCATAAAGAGCTGGAAATCATGGATTAAAAAAAAAAATTGTAGGATGTATGACAAGGCTCCTCTGTGACAGTTTGCTTACAGTAAGAGCCTACCACGGCATTCTCACCCCATGCCAAACTTCCTTTCCTGGACAGGAAGACATGTTCACACAATCGCTAGCCTTAGCGGGACCCCTGGGATTTTAGGTGGCAGAATCAGGGGGGTGGGTGGACGGGGGGATGTATTATTTGGCTGTATTACGGGAAGAAGAGAACGGATTCTTTTCCTTTTCCCACCCAAACAATTCCACCCTTCAGAAGATCTCATTTTGATGGCTTCTGTTGAAAGATGACTGAGCAGCTGCTCTTTCTCTGGCCTACTCTTAATAGCAAGAGATAGTTCAAGCCAGGAATATAGGCCTTAGCAGTGAAGGAGCCTCAGCAAGCGGACAGGCAGAACTCAGCTTAATCAGAGCCTGGAATGTGGCGGTATCCCGTTAAGAAATACCTCTGTTCACACACTGCTGTCTATTAACTAAGGCCATGTGTAGGTGCTGAATCATTAGGCCCAGCCTGATCCAAGGTAATTCTCGGAATGATCAGATCGGTTGAGCATTTCTAAATGTAACTATGCAGAGTATGATGCAGTGTTTCCTTAAGGTTCCAGATTGTCAAGTCAGAACAACTCATGGACTTTATCCCTTCTTCTTTAGACCCTCCAGTTCATGTTGTTCCCCAGAGGATGACACAGAATGTACCCCAAAGCATAGAAAAGACACTGCACTAGCTGTGTCTAACAGTGTCCATGGTGATCGTTGCAAAGGAGTGCACACTAAGAATGTTTTCACGGCTGATCTTTCTCCTACTCTGGACAAGGGTAGTGTTCCAGCAAGGTGTGCTCTGAGTGAAATCAAGCACCCATTGTGCCTAGCTCCTCTCGTGCGAACACTTATCTTGATCAGGGCGCAGTGAGCAGGGCAGCCGGGTTGTGTTACCAGCAAGGACCCAGGATGCCAGCACTATCTTCGTGCACAATTGAACGCAGTTGTGCTTGGGGGTTAGGGAGTGTTAATAAGGGAATTGGGGGGCGGGGGTGGAATGTGGGTTGCCACTTAAATTTTGCTTATTTTTCCTGGAGGAATTTTATCCAATAGCAAAAAGGAATTTTACAAAACCTTTACCCACCCACAGATTTTCATGAAAAAAAATGTCACTAACCAAAGACAGTTTTGAATTTTGTATGAATTGACTCATTTCTCCACAGGCATTTTGCCTGGCAAAATACAGAGTATTTGCCTTGGCTGGGATATTGGGCAGCTTGCTTTTTAAGTAACATTGGATTAGGAACACGAGAAAATAATACAGAGTTGAGACCAGTGTCCCCAGTCCTCTTTTTATGTCCTGATGTGTGGATTCATGGGCCAGCTTCAGCCACGTTAAGATGCTTCTTGAAGGAACATAAAATTTGATGTCACCTGTGGAAGGTTTTATTCAGGCATACTATATTTTGCTATTTTGATAAGAGATGGCCTTGATGTGGTGATCTTATGTCTAAAAAGGATCACAGAGAAATCTTTGTATAAGCATGGATGTTAGTGCTCCATAGTCTTCAAATTTACAAAACGAGTAAGTTCTTCAATTATCATATATGGATAAGGGTGTTAAGAATCAGACCTGCCCTGACAAAGTTGGCAAGAGGAAGCTGATGTCACCACTTGGGTGGGCCGTTCAGGAGTATTTGTAACATTGAGGAATGAGTTGGGTGTCTCCTTTAGAGAAACTGTTGTATCTGATGCTAGGTGCCTGGGGAGTCAAGAGCAAAGCTGTTTACTCTGTAGGCTTCTTAAAGTCTATATGTCTAAATCATCTATGCGCAAGGTAAGTTGACATGGTGTGGTTTATTCCTAATGAAACAATAGAAAGAAGTTTAAAATGAAGCGCACATACATACTACCATGGGTAAATTAAAAAAAATTATATGTAAAAAATAAGGTATGTATATGTAGACCTTGATTGAACAATGTTATACATTTTTTATCTTTAAATGACTGTGAAAAGACAATGAAATTCTATGGGCAGGATAATAAATTGCCTTAGCATAGTGGATAATTTCTAGAGAGCAAAGAAATAGGAAGAAATGGAATATGAGGAT